AACTTATGTGAATAGATAAATGGGGACTCTCACCCCAGTGGGAGGAAAAATGCTGGCGGCACCTTGCACAGGAGACGGGAGCAGTTGTTGGTAACGAAGCTGCGCACGCCCGAAAAAGGCACGAAGCAATGGAAACCCCGCCTCCTGAGCTTGCCAGCTGGGCTCTGCTCTAGGAAGGAGGCAATGGCAAACCACTTCCCTTGCCTTGAAAACTGCAGGGACTCATCCAGGCAGTCGCCGCAGAATCGGTAAAGATTGAGTGTGGATAAAAAAACAAATAAGTATTCGTAACTCTGGTATCCTAGTCTGGTCTACCCTGACTCAGACATTTATAAGAGCAATGCAGTACATTAACCCTTTTAAAATGACCACTGAGGACAATGTATATTCTCAGGAACCAAGGACATAGCTCTCTAGAGGTAAAGCAGACCCTCAGGCCAAGTATAAGAAAGAACAGAGACAGGGGACAGCTGCAGAACTCACCATAACATGACATTCTGAGGACACATCAGAGGAATGGACTGGGGCAGGCAGAACATCAAGAACATTTAGCTGTCCCAGGCAGCTGTCTGAGGAGACTCTTCAGAGCAGTATAAATCTGGAAACTCTGGTGAGCTACCTTGGCCCTACTGTAACACTCTGGAACCCCAAGTGACAAACCTTAGTTTGTCAAACCTTAGTTTGTCAAACCCCTATGGGTACAACCATGCTTTTAAAGCATCTTGTAAAATGACCCCATATGGAATAGTCTCTCCTGGTGAAAACTAGGAGAGTGTCTTTATCTAATAACAGTGGGCTATTAGGAGGATGAATTCAGTTGCCTGATAATTTTCTGATTTATTGATTAGATCCAGGACATCAGAACATTTTGTTTGACTGCACAAAGTGGCAGGCAGTACCCCTAGTGAGGCTGACTTTCCCTTGACCTCCAGTCTATAAGATGAAGAGAAAGAAAGGAAGAAGCATCTTCTCTAAGCATGTGCTGAAACCCATATACCCATTCCAGAAGATAATAAGTAATGTAGGTAGGTTATGTTGATTTTATTTTCAATGTTCTGAATGTGATCGTTGTCTTGCTTTGCTTTTTTCCTATATTCCCCTTTCCGCCAATACATTATTTTTATCTAGAGATTTGTTTTTACTGGCTTAAAAAAGGAAAATTTTCACTGAAACTTTCCACATGTGCACATCTGTACAGTTGTACAAATACCTACTGAGTTTCAGGGTTGACACAAGTTTTATTAATTTTTTGTATTGCAAAGTACCTTCCCTTCTATTTTCCTTAAGCTTGGCTGAAGGGAGAAGCCCTTGGTAGAAAGTCGAAGGACTTTCCATCTGGACAGACTAGGGTGTGTCAAGAGGTTCAGCCTGGTGGCAGCCTTCTTTTAAATAATCCACCCTTCCCTGTTTGGAGCACCCCATCAAGTCTACCTAGCTCTGACTGTTTTTATCCCTCAGAGTGGGTCATTGTGGGCAAGATAGAGAAAAGATAACCATGCCAAATATACCCATTTAGATAAGATTGTCTGTTACTAAAATATATTTTACCTTCCTAAAATACAAAGAGATGCTGCCTTATCAGCTGCCTACATCTGCTAATCTTATCTAAGAAGTGGATGGAATGTGGATCAGGTAACCTCAACAGGCAAAAAGAATGGGAGATTTTTATTCTCAAAAGAGTTGTACCTCAAGGCTGTGTCTATACATATTAGTAGAACAATTGGGAGGATACATATAATGCCGGCCACATACATTATCTTCCAAATCCAGAGCCTTTTGTAGACCCATATTTATCCATCCATCCAGTGTGTATATGTGTATGTGTATACACACACACACACACACACACACAGGGAGAGAGAGAGAGAGAGAGAGAGAAAAGAGAGAGAGAGGAATATTTATTACCATTGCATTTATCTACCATTCCTCTATCACTCTTATTCTAATAGAACTATGTGGAATCACCTTGAATAGAGTTTCAGGTTCTCATGAATTGGCAGATGGTTTCTGCTATTTAACAATAATTCCATTATGGAGTTGATATAGGACCAATTTAGCATGGTCTTGGCTTTGGGAGGGGAAATTAGTTCCAGTATAAATTGTTACACTAATTTACTCAGCTACAGCTCCAGAATCTATGAAGTATCGGTAGTAACCAATATTCAGGTTCACACATTCAATAGACAACTTAGACAACAATATAAAATTCAAATACAGTTAGGTAACATAACCTTAATGAACATATGACTCATTATTCTATTTCATTAGACCTCATTCTTCTCCGAAGAGCCAGACAGAATTTTGCAACCTGCCACGTTGCTTTCGAATCTTAATCCACACGTAACATAAAAATCTTCTGAGCCACCAGGGATTTTGCAAATTATAGGATTAAAAAAGTATTGTGGAAATCCTTATGAAATGACGACTATAGAAAAACATGAGCCAGAGTTTCAATTACGCCTTCTCCACAATACCAAAAATCTTTCATGGTGGAATTTTTTTTTTTTTTTAGTATTTGTATTTTAGAATTGCTGAGAGAACAATATTAAAATGCACAAGACTAAATGCCATACAACACTTTACTATAAAGAGCTATTCCAACTATCTGGCCATCTGGGGGTTGAAAATCTTATTTCCAATTGTGATTTATCTCTCTGTTATTATCAATTATCCTTTGTTTGAGCACTACTCTAGCTTCTTCATATCCTAACCTCAGAAGCATCTGAGGGACAAGCCCAATATGAGTCATTTTCTTGTTTACCTCCTACACCCAAGGAGCCTGAAATGATTAATTAGGATTGGGGTTCTTGTGGGCAGAAGCTCAATTTTAGCCCATAACTCATAATTTTCAAAAAGGCTTCCAATCAGAGTTTTGTATTTGGAATACAGTTCACCTCTCGTATGGGCTTTGTAACTACTTTGTTCCTTCAATCTATAACCCCCTGCCATAAAGCAGTTGTGCCAAAATTTGGCTGTGAACTATTTAAGTGCAGCTGATATATTCTGAGCTCTTCTTGGTTATAAAAATGATAAAATGCCCGCAATACTTCTTTATCCTTTCTGGACAGCATTTATGAAGTGGACTTCATAATTATCAAAGAAACAAAACAGTGTCCTCAGCTTCTAAATTCTGCCCACTGATCTAAGCCATTTTACTAAGCTCACAATAATAGCCTGTTCAGCTGTAAATGTTGTTCCTCATAGAAGGATACAACAGGCTGAACACCCCACATCACCCCTACTGGTGTTTGTGATAAAATCTCTGCATCATCCACGTATAAGAACTCTAAACTATAGCTATGCACAGTTTTAGGGTAATGAGGTTCTGTTTTGGCCAATTTCTCATTCAATGGTTTAACCTTAAACTTAAATTAACGAGCAGTAGGATGATAATACAAACATTAGCAGAGAATATATGTAGATCCGAGTTGAATTGCTGGATTCTTGGTGTTCTCTGCACATGGCCGTTTTCCTGCACATTTTGTTACCAGGCTAGATAATATCATCAGTGCACTTGCAATGAAATGTGCGCAGCCATGCTCAGAGAACATTAAGAACCCAACAGTAATAAAACATCCTTATTTTACCCTTTCCTTTCCTTGTTATCTGATGTGGAAATGGTGTATCAGAATTTATTTAGGGAAATAAATTTATGGCCAAATAAATAAGACATTGAATGTAACTGACACTTGCAGTTTAATCTTTACTATTTGATTTAAAAGTTCATGTCATAAATAAATCTCTTAAGTGTTTTAAGGATTATGAATAACAAATATTAAGCTTTTGTTTTTGCAGTTTATTCATTTGTTTATTAATTTGTTTATTTTTACTGTATACCCCACAAAGCCTCCACAGTTCTAGGAAGCTCTTTAAAAAATAAAGATCTTTTAAAATTACTTTAGAGCATAAACAGAGAAAACACAAAGCAGCAGCCAAAAAACCCCAGAACACAACAATAACAATTAAAAGTACTTTAAATATTTAAAATTGAATTTGATAAATTAGCAGGCAGGAATAGACAACAAAGGGCTTCCCATAAAGCTGGATTGTCCGCTTCTGAAAAGTGAGATGGTCCTCTCTGGGTAGGACATTCCAAAGCCATCAAAGTGATCCTCTTCAAAATGAAAGATTGCTGAGTGTAACAAGAGAGCTTCTGAAGATGATCATATGAGATAAGCCAGTCATTTAAATATCATGGTCCTAAATCATTCAGGGCTGTAAAGGTCATAACCAGTGGTTAGAGTTGTCCATGGAAGCTAAGATAACTGTTTCAGTAAGAGAGACTGCTTTCCGTAGTCAGCCCTGTTAACATATTGATTGATTGATTGATTGATTGATTGATTGATTGATTGATTATGTGTGATCAAGTTGACATCAATTCTTAGCAGCCACATAAATAGATTTTCTCCATGATGACCTGTCCCTGTAAACATATGGATGCTTATACAGTATTTTTAGGCAGTTGTTGTTTCCAAATAGTCTTTAAAGGCAGCGCTAAGTGAAGTGCACTGTAAGAATCCAGTAGTGATATCATATAATAAATATATAAATGTCACATTGGCTAGATCTGCATGTTTTAGGAATGGGCTGAGTTGGCACCCCATCCTGGCTACTGGCCTCCTGGGCACTGTCAACATCTGGGCTTCTAGGTTATGTACAGAAGAATTCCCAAATGATGAGCTTATCTTTTAAAAAAGAGGAGTCCATTTCATTCAATCTGAAGTTGAAAAATTATTCCATGAACAAGAATCTTAAGAATGGAATATTAGATACTGGTCAGGAATTCTCTGGGAGAATGTTATTTAATGATTTTATCATAGATTCTTGCAAACATGCACAATCTACCTCTTCTTGTAGCAAGACATTTATCATTTCAGCCATCCACTCAGCAGATCCGCTTCTGACTGTTGTTGCTATCCAGGATGGGCAAATATATGTATTGGCCTCACTTCTTGAAGTGAGTTGTTGTCAGAGGATAAAAATGGATCTGTGTACACTTTCTTGAGCTTATGGAGACAATATAGATTCAAGCCCCATAGCACAACAGCTGTTAAATAGGTCTTTGTCTTTGAGAAAAGCATATGGATTCCCTTACATGCTTCTCAAATATTTGAATTCTATCATCTTAGTAGAACCAGTTTTTTTTTAAGCAGAAAGATCTATGACCTGTTTAACCTCAGAAAATATTTCATTTCCCTCTATTTTTATCCCAAACTATATTACAAACTTTAGCAAACCTACCCCAAAAATGTAGCTAAGCTGATATATATTATTTATATTTGCTTCCTTTGTTTAGTTTCCTTTTCTCTTTTCCTTTCTTTTCCAAAAGGTGGCAACACTTGATAGATTTTTTAAGTGTTTCCCATGCTTCCAGGGTCAACCTAACAGCTAGCAGATTAGCCCTGAGTCATGGGAAATGTCATTTTTCCATCCACTATATCCACGGGGTTCCCACCTTTGGGAAACATGAAGAACACTTTACATGATGTGCATCATTATTTCCATGAATCTAAAACATTTTTAAAAGCATTTCTTCATTATAAATACAAGCTCTATAAATATATCAAACAGCAGTAATAAGAAATCTTGGTTTGAAGAAGAACAGGGTAATTGACACACATCTGTGGATGGACAGATAAAATATTTAAAATCATAAACAGGATCAAAAGTAACTTACATTAGCAAAAGATTTTTGAAGTTAAAGATACAATGATTCTTTTAAATTTATTTTTACCGTATGCAAGCAATCCCCTAAAGAAAGTCAATAACAATACACATATATCTTCATGTCATACGCATATATCTATTATACAGTTAAGACACATATGCAGATATTTAAATCTTCATGTCATGTTATACAATTAAATTATTAAAAATCAAGTTGTTTATTTAACAGTAGGCAAAACTGGCATATTAAACATTTAAATTAGTATATGCAGTCCAAATGTATAAAAGCTAAAAAATCATACCACCCTCTTGTTGAGCTGAACTCTTATCAACTATGTAGAACCACATCTAACTGTGGCATAAACAGCAGCATCTATTCTGGGGAGGGGGGGCTTGAAATCTGCAAAATGGTGGGCGCATTGTCAGAGTGCAAGCTGGCCCTTTTGTATGCAAGTATAAAACAGGTTGGGCTTGCAGTTGCAATGGTGCAACCAGCTTCCTGCAGATTTCGATCTCCCCTATGGATGGTGCTGACCACAACATTCCCTGCCCTTTTTTTCTCTTCCTGATATATCCTCATAACAATGCCTTCATCTGATCCCCAGGAAATATACAAGGCTGCCTTCAGTAGCCCACAGGCATACTGGTATGAAAGTAGTGCTTAAAGTGGTGTTTCCCCTTTATCCCAATACAGGTTTTGTCATGAATTCAATTTGATACACATCACTGACTATTTTGTGGGTGGCAAATGGGAGAATTAACCCACTTTAGGATGGTGCAGGTCCAGCCGCTCTCTTGCAATCCCTAGGCCAGAGTTTCTCAACCTTGGCGACTTTAAGATGCGTGGATTTCAACTCCCAGAATTCCCCAGCCAAGCTATGCTATGTACCCATCAGGTTTCCAACCAACTGCTAGCTCAGATACCTGCATCAGTCCAACCAGTAGCAGTAGGGGAGGGCAACACAGTAAAATGGGAATGATTTCTGCTGCTTTATGGCACAAGTCTCCCAGCACCTGTCAGTGGCTCCTTTTAGGGCTCTTCTCAAACTGTATTCAAAAGCAGCTTGAGAATCAGCTGATATCAGCTGATCACTGGACTTCTTTTTTATTTCTTTAATTCTTTATCAAATTTATATGGCCACCCATCTCACAAATGAGATTCTGGGTGGCGTATAATAAGACAAAACAATAAAAACATCTTAACCATTAAAAACAACAAAACATCCATATAACTAAGACCACAGGGAGTGTTTAAAGAACTCACCCACATAAAGCCATCTCACGGGCTGCCTGTTTCCAAGGGTTCCCCAGGCCTGCTGGAAAAACCATGTCCTGAGAGATTTCCGAAAGGACAATAAGTCTTTTGGATAAAGAGCAATAGTTGAACAAAAGTTGAATAGTGCTATTCCAGAATACCATTATTCTAGAAAGGAGTCTGATCACCAGCTGACATTGGCTGACGGTCAGGCTCCCTATCGATACACCTATACAAAACACTTCCACCTGACCTGAGTGAGTTTTGAAAGATAGCTGAACCTGCTAGCTTTGTCATCTCTCAATATTAACTTCCTCCCTAGTCCTTGCTCTAGTCCCAGTCTCATCCCACATTAAGAGGTTAAGATGAATGTGGTGGGTGGGGAGGGAAACCAAGCAGTGAAAATCCAGTAATCCCTGTCCTTTACAGCCCTATATATCATAAATTAATGGGGCAGCAACTTTATGCCAGTAGAGTTTTCTGTCTGCTCAAGGTCTGGTGGAAAGCACTTTAACTTAGGTCTGAGGAAGAACTCATGGACACATCCATGAATTTTTCTCAGCAACAATACAGAAGTGGTTTGTCATTGACCTCTGTTTGTTTGCAGCCCTGAATTCCCTGATGATCAGTTATCCAAGTGTCAACCACCTTTGATCATGCTTAGTTTTTCTTGAGAATTACCACTGAATATGTGGTGAAATTCATATTTCTAAACAATCTCTAGCTAGGATTCCTGATTTAAAATGCTTATTTAAATGTGAAAATGAAGTGACTTTTTCAGACCTTTATAAAATTGACAGAGAATGGTTGTTATTTCAGCCATGCTAGTATCATTTTTTTTCAGCCAGAAAAGCACACAATATCAATGTCAGTTGCCTCCTGTGACTGAAATATATGTAAGTTAGAAGAACAACTTTAAAAGTCTTAAAAGTGCTTTTTCTATAAAGCAAACTGGTGCAGGTACTTTTGTGAAGGCTTTCTGTTTTGTATGCTTCTCTGACCCTCTTCACATTTTGTACACCCACATATGAGATATGAATGAAACACAGGAAGGCAAAACAGAAAACACAGTTTGCGATGATTTGGCTATGATATTGCCTGGATGCTCCATAAAATATGACAGAGTATTTCTGAAGAAAAAGATGGAAAGATCATATTTTTTTAAAAAAGAGGTAAGAATAAAAATATAATTTTTTTACAAGCATCTCAAATTTTCTATCTGGAAGAATTCCAAAGTATGCCAGAAAAAGGGGAATAGGAAAGTGAAAAATCACCTTGCACAATCATGATTCATTAAAGACAAACAAAGAATAATAGGAAAGTTCAACTGAAAACTCCTTTGGTGCCAATAGTTTAAAATAAGCTTTTAAAATAAAGGTTACATAAGATTCTGGGTAATTTCATCATAAGAAAATTCTTGCTGGATTAGACTAAAGACCTATCTAGTCCAACATCTTATTATTACAGAGAACAACCCAACAGTTATAAGAAGTATCCAAGCAAAAAGTAGACTCTCCTACACAAGGTGCAGAACAACCAATACTTAGAGACATGCAATTTCTGGTTCTGGAGGTGATACATAGCCCTCAGATCTAGAAACCACAATGACATGTAGTCTCCATCAGCTAATCTGATCTCCTTTTAAATATGTCAGGAGCAGAATCTGTATGCATGGTTCCAGCATTCTCCTGATGCAAGAGGCTGCACCAGACCCATCTCTACTTATTTCTTTGCTTTTTGGTGATGGCCCCCACCCTAATTTTTTCCTACTTAGCAAAAGTAAGAAGAGAAAGTTTAATAAATAGAAGCACTATTTATATGTATGTTTGCATTAACAGATTATACAAAGCCGGATTATCCTGTTCCCTGCATCAAGGGAGCAGAGAAGCAGAGCCTGCAGGCACGACTTTGTGGGCAAGTTCAACACAAAATTGATTTTTGGATTTCTGGATTTAGGATACCTTAAGGAGAAAAATGACTACCCAATGCCTTGAAGAAGATTTGTTCTGTCATAAATGCTCATATATTTACTTTTCCATCAGAAGAATGATGGACCATGCTTACTAACCTCACTCCAACAGTCACATCCCTGCTACCTATCTGGCTTACAGCCTTGATGATGAGAATAAGCCTACTATATTTGTCTAGGCTCCCCTAGATGTAGAACATGACTCCCCAATAAAGAAGTCTCTTTTGACTTGAGCAGGACTGCTAAAGACTGAAAGGACACATTCATGTTGTGTTCATGGCAACAATATAGAAATTGTTTACTACTGACTTCTGGAACTTTTTAAAAAATTCTGAGTCTAGCTACAACCCTGATCTTTGGATATCTCCATTCAAGTACTGATCAGACCTGATCCACCACTGAGGGATAGAGTGCCGAATGCACACCTTCCAACTTCAGTGTAGGTGGAACACTGTCACCAGGGATAAAATGGCAGGAGCAAAGCCAGCATGTGTGGTTCCAGTATTCTCCTGAAGCAAGAATATTTACCAGTGATTTTAGCCATTGATCATGGCTTCAGTGCTTAGGATGTGGCATTTAAATCTTGTTAAATAAGACTGCAATCCTATGCTGACTTACTCTAAAGGACATCACACTACACTCAGTGGGATTTATTTTCCAGTAAATCTATGTAAGGTTTCACTCTTAAATTAAGTAAACCTTTGGCTTTCTGTTTCTGAAGATATATCTGTTGATTCCAAGTATGTTACCAGTTGTAATGAAATGGAAAGTGTTCGTGTTTTGGAAGCTTCTTATTACAGTGCCTATAAAAATGGTTTGAAACATTTTGATAATCCCCTTGACAAGCTGGCTACTTTTGCTTCATTCTATTCACTGAAATCTCCCACATTCCCAAATGCTGGGAAGTCAAGAGTTTCACATTGTTTGGTTGGGTTGTCATGGTATCCTACAACATTTCCAGTACATTCAGGGATAGTTTGGAGCCAAGTTGTTCAAAAGCACAAAAGTTACATTTGTTGGCAGAGTGTTACGCCATTTTGCTTCTGAGGAAATTCAGCTCTCCCTTGCTTAGCTTTGTTATTTAAAAGGCCTCTTCTCTATTCATATGGAGAGAAGTTAGAGATTCCTGGACAGAATATCAGAAAGGAGCAGTGGACATCTAAGCCGAAGTTATTATTTCCATCAAGAGCATCATCCATTTAAAAATGCCAGTCTTTATTTGCTGCTAGCTGGATGTGCTGGTGCAGGGCCTAGGAGTTCATTTTCATGCCCTGTTTGTCCCTGCATGAAGATGGCCACATTAATAGCTTATTGAGGACATCAATGCTCAGTGTCATTCTCAACCTGCCCCAGCTTATTTTGAAAACAGCCTCTACCTGTCTTGTTTCTTTTCAGAAGAAGTTATGTCAACAACCCAGTCTCTACTGGGCTGGGACAGTCTGATTGTGTGTGTCCCAACCATGAAATTGGCACCACATTTCCTTGTACCACTTGGACAGGTGTTTTCTGGTTTAAATGTCTTTGGATTTCCAATCCCAGTAGGAATCTTGCATTTCACTTTTGAACTCTTCTGGGGAAGTGGCCTTTTGCAATTTTCATATGATGTTCTGTATATGCATTCTAGAAGTGTCCATTCACTTCTTTCTCAGTACTTATCTGGGCAACCATGTCACTGATTGCATCAGAATGTTTTTTTTTTTCATCTACTACTATTATAAGCAGTATTAATGTGTAATATCTGTTACTTCATTCTCTGTGGTTTTTCAGTGATGGTGTCTTTAGCATGAGGATTTGGGGCTTATGATGATCAGATACTGCTTGTGAACTTGTCTTGCTTTTCTATAATGCACTTTGAATCACATTTCTTTATTTGTGTGTGTTTGCTAATCAGACACATTAGCATGAATGTTCCTTTGTAGGCTAGAAGGTTACATTAGCCTCTCTGAAATTGCCCTACCTAATTAAACTGACTTCATATTTCCCAGTGTGTTAATTTCTTCTAATTATCCGCAGTGCATAAATAATTGTAACATTAATTTATGAGAAGTTTACAATTTATTATTCTGGAAAAGGACAATATTTTCTTTGAAATGAAATGATTGATTTTATTTAGCTTTGTGTTTAAAACACTGGAGTTAAATTGCCCAGCTGGATAGCATATGCTGAACCTCAAACATTATAATGAGGCAGGCTTGTTTGGATAGTAACTGTGAGAAAAGGGACCATATATGGTCACAGATAATTTTTTTAGCAGTTTCTATCCTGCCAAAAGAAGATGTTTTCATTCCCTTACTGTTGCTGTTACCAGATGTTCTCTTCCTGTTATTTCTTCTGTGAGTGTCAATTCTCAAAAAGATATTGGCTTAAAGTCCTGTAGAGAAGTCCTGAAGACAACAGTTAGGATGTAATGAATTGGCTCCCAATATTGGTTATTTAATGCAGGGATCTATCTTCATTAATTAAATTATGAACTTAAGATAGCTTTCCTCAAGCTATCGTCCTCCAGATATATTGGATTAAAACTTTCATCATTCCCAGACATCATGGCAAACAGAGATGCTGAATGAAGGTGATGGGAAATGTAGAGGGAATAGGGAATGGCTTTGAAGGACAGGAGGAAAAGCCACTACCAAGACAATGATCAGACAAGTGTGGCTGGAGTCCTTTCAAGAAACTAATTTGAGGAAACAACTCAGACAAGCCCCTCCCAAATTCACACAAAAATAAAATGAGGGAGGGGGAATCACATTCAGACTTGCAAGATTCTATCACTATAGCTGTTCCAATCAAAGTAGTTTTAGACTTGTGGCATATAATTTTAGTGGCATGGCATGGTCACAATTGTGCTGGTGTGAGTCAGCAAATGAAGTGAGAAAAGGGGAATAGAAGCTCAATTCTGGCCTTGAAGGGCAGCTGGGGAGGCTTTTATGCTTTTTACTATTTACAGTGAAGCTATTTACAACAAGCATTTACAAAAAGTATATACAACACAATCCTGGTGTTCATCCAATGTCAGGTTTCCTTCTAGGTCTCCCTCCCAGAGACTATTTCCCTCTAGCTCTTCTGTTTCCTCCCCCTTTCATTCCATCTCCCTCCTCTTGTTTCTGGGCTTATCAAGAGAGAGTGAAAAGAAAGA